GTTTCAAAAGTGACATGTTGGTTTTGTGCCTGGAATAACTACCTTGGTAGATGGTCCTCATACAGGGAACACTGGGGAAAAGACGGATTTCTCCTCTAAGGGAGGGAGGGGCTTTTTCAGAAGAGAGGAAAGGAGTGTTCAGCTACTCCACTTGCTTTACCTGATTTAACCCTTACAAAAACCTGTGTGTTGATCCTATTAGTATCACTGGAGATGGCTCTTTGGTCTTGTGGAGAGAAATAATTCAAGAATGGGTGCATAAAGCCATTGAGCATTCAGAGTTTATTGGAAAATGAGAAATTTAGAAAAAGGCAAGAGTACACACCTGAGATTTGGGGCAGGGGCAGACCCAGAGGGGGTCACGCTGAGGGAAAAATAAGGAGCCTTTTTTATCCAGAGATGAAAACTGACTGAGATTAGGTCCCAAAGGGAACAGGTATGGTTTTCTCAGAGTTGGGGCATGCTCCATCCTCACTTTGGGAGGAGGGATTTTTTTACTGTATTTGGTCCCCATCCGAACTGTCATGGCGCTGAGAGGTATGACTTTTACTATACTAATGATGGAGCCATGTGATTTTTACTATGTTAATGGATTTTGGGGTGAAGTTTGGGTCAATTTCTCCAGCATGTTGGAACCAGCAAGATTTGGCCATTCTATTACCCATACCCTCACTCCACATCCCAAGGGAACAGCTTGCACAGAATGTGGAGCATGTAAGCAAGCATCTGATCCAAGTCCCCCCTCCCTCATCCTGCTTAAGTCTAGCTATCAACCTACTCTAACATGGCTACTACATCTACCTACTTTACAGAAGAATAGAATGGAGGTTAAGGAACTTCCCAAGTACCCTCAACTAGTAAATAACAGACCAAAGAGCGAACTCTCAAGCATATACTGCTTCCCTCACAGCCCCCAACCTTGAAAGAGGACCAACAACTGTCTAGGGCTCACAGTGAAAGCTTGGCCACTAAAGATACAGGAGGAAATCAAGAAGGAACTACATGGTATATAGCCAGAGTGGAAGAAACAGAAATTAACTCTATCAGGGGAGATGCAATCAAGACCAGAAAGCAATCCCAAAGCTTCAAAAGCAGGCAAGCAGATGGGGGCACACTCTCAAGATGTGCCTCTTCTTCACCTGCTCTCTAGGATGATTATTTCATTCCTTCTTTATTTTCAACACCCCTGCTCCTTCTCACCAGCCTCCCTCAGCAATGATCTTGCCTCATACTTGACACTGAAAAGCCATCAGTTGAAAAACCCTCAGTGTGGTCTCATTATATGAACAAACCCACCTACAACTGCACTCCCCATCTTTTCTGGCTCCCTCCTGCCTCCTGGGAGCTGCTCTCCCCGACCTCTCATTTCTCCTGCTCTGCTCAGACTTTCCATCTGCATAAGAGTTGTTCGTCCATCTTTAATTAAACCCCGTCAGGATCTGGCATCTCCCCTCTCTTCCCCAGCTGACTGCACACCCACCTCTATACTCTCCACCACAGCCTGACTTCCGGGATCTCTTTCTTCCCAGTGACGAGCCCTCACGTTCCTTCAGTGATCAGTCAACCCAAACTAGTTTGTGCCACCACAGGACCAAAAAGGTCACATCTAAATGCCATGGATACCTTTCTACATACATCTTCATCTCCCACCTGTTTTCTACACACTTCACTGTCCCACTTCCATTCCTTAGCTTCCACCAGAAGCACACTCCAGTTTCTTGGCTGCTCTCATGTTGCTCTTTCTCAGTCAGCTTCTGCTGTTCCATCTCTTTTGCCTTTCATCTGTTAAAGGTCAGAAATAGTCCTTAAATGTGCCCTACAGCTGAGCTCTGCCATCACTTCCCACCCCATTGGCCTAATTCAGTTCCTCCCGTTTTCCCCATTTTAACATGGAACCATTGTCCACCCATTTGTTCAAGCCCTAAAACCTGACAATTATCCTTGACAACCGGTCTCACGCATATCTACATGGAATCAATCCCCAAGTCCTGACAATTTTACCGCTTACATATCTTTCAGATCTGGCTAATTTCCTTGATCACCGCAACAATCTTCTTTGTAGCTAAATGCAGGTGCCTAACCCAGCACTCCTCCCTGCCCCCTGTATTTAATCTCCACATAGCAGTTAGTGACGGTAAACTGCACACATCACTTTCCTGGAGAGTAACACTATCTCCAGTTCTCCCTCTCCCCACTGGTGTGTGACCAGGGCTGAGACAGGAAGTATTGATCATAAAGAACAAGTAGCAGGATAAACAGATCACAGATAAACAGCAGAATAAAGAAGACAAACCTTGTATTTCAGTAACCTCAGATTACTGCCAAATTCACACATGGCCATCCTTGGACACAGTACCCCACAGGTCATTACAACCCCACCAATGGACATGCGGCTACCAAGAATGCTCCTTGCACTTTAGCATATTGTGTTAACTGCAAACACCTACAACAGTAACAACAAAAGGAACTCCGCAAACCGAAACCACTCAGACAGCGCCTTCTCTTCTTCTGAAAGAAGAGAAGAACAATCATCAACAGCAAACATGTGTTACAAAGGCAACACCAAAAGCCGGCTTCATGCTGTGCCTCCTTCTCGTGGTTTCCGGTACTCTGCACGTTCAGAGAAACCTCTCTAGTAACGAACTATAGAAATGATCCCTGAAAGTATAGTCTTAGTCGCAGCTTCTCTGTATCTGCTGGGTCTATGGAAATGCACACTTAGGTTGATGGCGAAATTTTTTCCACGTTCCTAGCTTTTCAGAAATCTTATAAATTACTTTTCAAAGTGTCATTTTATATACAATTAAAAACACCTCTCAGTACTCTTAAGCGGTTTGCTCTTTCAGAAACTTAAGACTTCAAGATCTTAATTAACCTATCACGGACCGACAGCCAATCAGAGCTCTGGTCCTTTCATCTCCAAAAACACTACCACTTCTGGTTTAGGATAAGACAACACCGTGCTCAGGTGTCGAATTAGTTTTCTAATCATAAATATGACAGGCAGCGTATGTGGGCGAGTTTTTTTTTTTAATCTCTTGAGACCCTGAATTTCAAAAGCTACTAAGTGGCGTTATTTGGCCCTTTTACTTTGGGATCATCTGCCCTTTACTCACTTGAGTGTGGACCTAAGGGGGCAAAATCAGGCTCAACTGTCTAGCTTTTCAAACTCATGTACGAGGCCAATCTTAGATGGGGAAGGGAGTTTATTTTGAAAAAGTTCTCTCTCCCTCTCCTTTTTAATTAGGTAAAGGTAGAAAACTGTAGTGCAGTTACTTTGCTACATTTTGGTCGGGGGTGGGGGAAGGGTCTGCCTTATTGGTAATTTTGTATGTTTTTGTACTGTTTGAATTTTTTTACCCTTAGACGGTATCATCTTTATTTTTAAATATCAGCACGTATATCGAGACAGACATCACAGCTCAATCTTAGTTTGCTTCTTTGTACCTCAATAATAAAAATAAAAATCCAACCTAAGACATTATTTTTTTAATTAGAGAATCTTTAATATACAATCTTATGTTGGTTGGTTTCAAAAGTACATCACAGTGGTTCAACAGTTCTGTGATAAAATTATATTGCAACCGCAAATTATTCTGCCCCATTATCTGCCCCACCCCAACCTACCCCAAGCCCTCCCCTCCCATTTGGTAACCACTAGTTACTAGTTACTTCTCAGTATCTACGTTTCTACTGCTCTTTTGTTTCTTCTGTTTACTCTCTTTCTATATTCCACAAATAAGTGAAATCATATGGTATTTCTCTTTCTATGACTGGCTTATTTCACTGACCACAATACCCTCAAGATCCATCCATGTTGTTGCAAATAGCAGGATTTCTTTTCTTTTTATGGCTGAATAATATTCCATTCTGTATATATACCACCTCTTCTTTATCCATTCATCTATTGATGGACACTTAGGTTGCTTCCACATCCTGGGTACTGCAAATAGGACGGAAATAAACATAAGGGTGCATAAATATCTTTTTGAATCAGGTATCTTGTTTTCTTCAGGTAAATTATTAGGAGTGGAATTACTGGATCAAATGGTATTTCTTATTTTTAGTTTTTTGAGGAAACTCCATACTGCTTTCCACAATGGTTGCACCAATTTGCAGCCCCACCAACAGTGTAGGAGGGTTCCTGTTTCTCTGCGTCCTCGCCAGCACTCGTTGTTTCTCGTCTTTTGGATAGTGGCTATTCTGACTGGTGTGCGGTGGTCTCATTGTGGCTTTAATTTGCATTTCCCTTACGATTAATGACATGGAGCATCTTTTCATGTGCTTATTGGCCATTTGCATTTCTTCTCTGGAGAAGTGTCTTGTTCAGGTCCTCCACCCATTTCTTAATCAGGTTGTTTTCTGGATGTTGAGGCAAATGAGTTCTTTATATATTTTGGATGTTAATCCCTTATCAGAGAAGTCATTTACGAACATATTCTCCCATACTGCAGGATGCCTTTTTGTTCTGCTGACGGTGTCCTTTACTATTCAGAAGCTTTTCAGTTCAATGCAGTCCCACTTACTCATTTTTTATTTTGTTTCTCTTACGTGAGGAGATGTGTCCAGGAAAAAGTTGCTCATGCTGATATTCAAGAGATTTTTGCCTATGTTTTCTTATATGAGTTCTATGGTTTCATGACTTATGTTGAGGTCTTTGATCCATTTCAAGTTTACTTTTGTTTATGGAGTTAGACAATAATCCAGTTTCATTCCCTTACATATGTCCAGTTTTCCCAACACCAGTAGTTAAAGCAACTACTCCCAATTGTACAGTCATGGCTCCTTTATCATATATTAACTGACCACATATGCATGGGTTTATATCTGGGCTGTCTACTCTGTTCCATTTATCTACAGGTCTGGTCTTCAGCCAGTAACAAGTTGTTTTGATTTCTATGGCTTTGTAGTAGAGCTTGAAATTTGGGAGTGTAATCCCGCCAAGCTTTGTTCTTCCTTCTAAGGATTGCTTCTCAGACTGTTCGGGGTCTCTGGTGGTTCTATATGAATTTTAGAACTATTTCTTCTAGTTCACTGAAGAATGCTGTTGGGATTTTGATAGGGATTGCATTGAATCTGTAGATTGCTTTAGAAGCAGGATGGCCATTTTGACAATATTAATTCTTCCTATCCATGAGCACAGGATGTATTTCCATTTATTGGTGTTTCCTTTAATTTCTTTCATAAGTGTCTTGTAGTTTTCAGGGTACAGGTCTTTCACCTCCTTGGTTAGGTTTATTCCTAGGTATTTTAAACCTAGGTATTTTATCCTTTTTGATGCAATTGTAAATGGAGTTGTTTTCCTGATTTTTCTTTCTGCTCATTAGTTGTTAGTATACAGGAGTGCAACAGATTTCTGTGTATTAATTTTGTATCCTGCAACATTGCTGAATTCAGTTATTACTTCTAATAGTTTTTTGGTGGGAGTTCTTAGGGTTTTCTATGTATGAGGTCATCTGCAAACAGTGAGAGTTTAACTTCTTCCTTACAAATTTAGATGTCTTTTATTTATGTTTTGTCTAACTGCCATGGCTGAGACCTCCAGTACTATGTTGAATAAAAGTGGTGAGAATGGGCATCCTTGTCTTGCTCCCAATCTTAGAAGAAAAGCTTTTGGATTTTTGTTGTCAAGTCTGATGTTGGCTGTGGGTCTGTCATATATGGCCTTTATTAAGCTGAGATACTACCCCTGTATACATATTTTGTTGAGAATTTTTATCATGCATGGATGTTGGATTTTGTCAAATGTTTTTTCACCATCTATTGAGATGATCATATGATTTTTGTACTTCTTTTTTTTGAGGTGTTGTATGATATTGATTGGTTTGTGAATATTGTACCATTCTTACATCCCTGCAATAAATCTCACATGGTCATGATGGATAATCTGTTTGTTGTATTTTTTAATTTGGTTTGCTAATATTTTATTGGGGATTTTTACATCTATGTTCATTAAGGACATTGGTCTGCAATTTTCTTTTTGTAGTACCTTTGTTTGATTTTGGTATTAGAGTGATGTTGGCCTCATAGAATGAGTATTTAAGTATTTCCTTCTCTTCTATCTGGAATACTTTAAGAAGGATGGGTATTAGCTCTTCTTTAAATGTTTGATAAAATTTAGCCGTGAAGCCATTTGGTCCAGCCATTTTGTTCTTAGGTAGTTTTTTGATTACCAATTCAATTTCGTTGCTGGTAATTGATTTGTTCAGATTTTCTGTTTCTTCCTGGGTCAGCTTTGGAAGGTTGTATTTTTCTAGAAAGTTTTCCATTTCTTCTAGGTTGTCCAATTTGTTGGCATGTAATTTTTCATAGTATTCTCTAATAATTTTTTGTATTTCCATGGTGTCTGTTGTGATTTTTCCTTATTCATTTCTGATTCTGTTGATGTGAGTACACTCTCTTTGTTCCTTGATAAGTCTGGCTAGCAGGTTATCTATTTTGTTTACTTTCTCAAAGAGCCGCTCCTGGTTTCATTGATTCTTTCTATCATTTCATTCTTCTCAATTTGATTCATTTCTGCTCTGATCTTTATTATGTCCCTCCTTCTAGAGACTCCTCATTTGTTCCTATTTTTCTAGTTTCATTAACTGCTCATGTCTCCATATACTGCTTGATCTCTTTTAATTTGGTCATTGATCCATTGATCACTTAGGAGCATGTTGTTAAGCCTCCATGTGTTTGTGGGCTTTTTAGTTTTCTTTGCATGATTTATTTCTATTTTCATACCTTTATGGTATGAGAAGCTGGTTGGCACAATTTCAATCTTTTTGAATTTGCTGAGGCTCTTTTTATGACCTAGTATGTGATCCATACTAGTAATAGATTAGTAAAGAATTCTCCATGACTCTCACATTTCTGCATGTCAGCCTTTATTGTGGAGTATCTTCTCAAGGATGTTTGCATAGTGAACAGACTTGGAAGCTAGAGACAGTATCTTCCTCCAGAGCAAACAGCAGGTTTGTTTCCTATCCAGCATAATAAAGATATGTCTCCCTCTGGGGAAGAGGTCAGGCAGGCTTATGCCCGTTGAAAGGATTCAGGATCCCTACACTTGGGTTTCCAAAGCCCCTCTCCTGTCATGCAAGCCAGGCTGTATGCAGCCATCACTTAGCCCTCTTGGCATCACCCTCTGGGAATTGGGCCTTGGCACAAAAATGACAATATATTAGCTACTGTTATCGCTGGGAGTAATAAATTGTCATTTGTCTCTAACCCAGGAGTCTTATTATTTTCTGCCAGCATCCAGAGAACTGACAGGCTAGCTTGGCAGCTTGCAAGTAGGGTAAAACAGATCTTGACAGCTACCTCACTCGCTTACCTCTACCCTGCTGAAAATACTTCAGTGGCACCTCATTATTTTCAGGATGAAGGTGAAACAGCTTGAAATGGCTTATAAAGCCCTCTGTGTCTTGGTTCTTCCCCTTTTTCACCAATCTCATGCTTTAATTTAGCTCACACCTCCTCTTCTCACCATCCCACACTCACCCACTTTCTTGGAGTCTCTCAGATTCATTATGCTTCTACCAAAAAAGACCTTCACACTTGTTGTTACCTTTGCTTGAAATGCATCTCCTTGCTCTCCTTCCCTGGTTACTTGTGATATTGTGGTATAGTAAGAAATATGTATTTTGGTCTTCATCCTGGTTCCTGGCCAGGGCTCTAAAACTTTTATGA